GCTCTGTGTGGCTGTGCCGGCTTGTAATCTACTTGCCACGGGCGAGTAGATTACACTAATTGTCGAGCCCTGGCAATTTAAATAAATTACCAAAACAATTGCAACTGTCATGATTATATTGCATTATATTGGGATGATATAGTTGGGGTTGGTCCTGCTTTGAGCTGGGGGTTGGACTCGATGACCTCCTGAGGTCTTTTCCAATCCTAGGATTATATGATTATTTTGACAAATATGCAGAATTTTGCAAAATTTTGAAATTTTTGGCACAGAATCCCCACAGGGGTCCCTCCTGCAGCAGGCATGTGTGTTAACATGGTAAAACACTTGCAAATGGTGGATTGGACAAGCTCTGAGGCATCAGTGTGTTGCCAGGCAGGTGGGATGTTCATCAGCTAAAACAGTCTTTATTCTTGTAGCCGTTATCTGTCCCTTTCAGGAATCGATGGGAATGCTGCTGGCTGGGGTTTCGAAGAGAACTGTGTGTCCAAATCCCACGCTTGCTACTAACTTGCTTGGACTCTTCTGAAAACACTCAAATGTGTGGGAGGGCATCCTGTGAGGGGTTGAGTACCCACAGTGCTGACACACTTCCTTTGGGGAGGTGGGGGCTTACCACACTAGAAAATCAGGCCCAGGAGCTCTGCCGGCTGCTCTATTATCCTCCCGAGTTCCTTACAAAGTACATGTCCTTGGGCTTATAATTCATGTATGTTTCTAAAGCTCCTTTTGGGATGTGCTTGTGCATGACGAGAGCTGCAGAATATGACTGTTTTTGTTCTTTTGCTAGGCCATATGCACATATCCTCTCTGTACCTGTCTCCGAAACGATGACCTCTTACTCAGGTCAGACTCAGTATCCAGCGCTACAGCAGACTCAGCCCTATGCCATCTACCCTCAGACAACCCAGACCTATGGACTACCTCCTTTCGGTAAGGGGTCAGCAAACATGCTGCGGGGTTTTGCATGGTCTGTTCTTCCTATACCCACTGTTCTTCCAGCGAAAGGCCCCAGCCCCAGCGTGGTGGGGGAAGAACCAACAGAAGAGCCCAAGCTTGGTTTTCAGTAATAGGACACTTGGAAATCAGGGGCTAGTGTGATTAGTTGACAGCTGTTCATGTCTAAGGGGCATTGTCTCTGGGGTGGGGGTGTCATGTTAAATAGGTCTTGTAAAAATCTGTCGTACTTGCAGTTAATTTCGGTGACTGGCATGCTGACTGCAGGGACGCTTGATGTAGTTTTTTCAAGTGATTGCTTGACTGCTTCGGTGCTGATCATGCACCAGATAAAATGGGGTAAAGCACCTCTCCAGTGCTGTCCTGTCTAACATCTCTGCGCTAGGTAGCCCCTCTCTTTCCTTTCTGCTGGGCCATTAGTACTGGCCTCTTGGCCACCATCTAAAGCCCTGTTGCCTCACCTCATGTTTCACTGCATGTAGATTGCCTGTTACACTGTCTCTGAGATTACTCAGCTAATAATAATATTTAGCTCTATAGCTCCTTGTATGTATTAAGCACAGTATGGTTACATTACAGTGACTTTTAATTTCAGCATTAGCCATTTCATCATGTCAGGAGTGATTGTACCACTGAACTTTCCTTCAAATTTTCTGATTTTCTAATATAAGGAATCACCTGAATTTAAAAAAATTAAGTCAGACCCTAAGAAATTGTGAGATTGCTGAAAAAGTAATGAGAGAAACAAAAATCAATCTTGTCTTTTGGACTGTGTTCCAATTTGTGGGCTCCCCTGCCCTCTCTCTAGTTTGTGGTGGTAGTTTTTAATTTGCTATGTTGCTTTACATGAGAACATAAGAATGGCCAAAGGTCCATCTAGCCCAGGGTCCTTTCTCCTGACAGATGCCCCAGAAGGAGGGAATAGAACAGGAAATCATCAAATGACCCCTCTTCTGTCATCCATTTCCAGCCTCTGACAAACAGAGGCTAGGGACACCATTCCTACCTATCCTGGCTATTATCTGTTGATGGACCTAAGCTCCATGAATTTATCTAGTTCCTTTTTGAGCCAGTAAAGTCCTGGTCTTCACAACATCCTCTGACAAAGAGTTCTACAGGTTGTGGGCTTTGTGAAGAAAAACTTTCTTTTCTTTGTTTTAAACTTGCTACCTATTAATTTCATTTGATACCCCCTAGTTCTTATGTTATGGGAACAAGTAAATACATTTTCCTTATTCACTTTTCCAAACCTGCTATGATTTTATAAACCTCTATCCTATGATATCAAACTCCCTCTTAGCCTCCTCTTTTCTAAGCTGAAAAGTTCCAGTCTTTTTCATCTTTGGAAGGTTTTGCAAAGTGGATGAGACTTGTCTCAGTTTTATTAGAGATCTGGGTTTCGTCCTCAGCTCTGTCCGGTGAGATGGTGTCAGCTCTGTTCTCTCATTTGGGAAATGGGAGAATGATGATGCTTCGTGGAGTCAAAACATGCAAGTAAAAACAAAAAGCTGATATTTGGGAATGATTCCTCATCTATTCACTTCCATGTTGAGCAGGGGCGGGAGGTTTGTATAATTTTTGGTGGTGCCCAGAATGGGTCTAGTCCCCCTCTCCCGCACCCTGTAAGCCGATATATATTTTGTTAAATAATGTAAAAATGCACTGGAAACCATAAGCGTTTAACAGTTTCCCTTTATTGCACAATATCACTATCATAAGAAAACATTATTTAACTGAGAATATCAACGTTATTAATACTCTTCTGAATATGGAAACAACCAAGCACTCTGATCAATAACCCTCTTCCTGTTTCCCCAGCCAGCTCCAAGCAGACACTGTCTCCAGCCCTGCCTCTGGCCTTTATCTCTTTTCTGGACAAGCTGGCCACCTGATCTCTTTGTTCTCCAATGCCTTCAGTTGGCACCTTGCAGGAGAGGGGCCCAGGCCATCAGTTGCCATTCTCTGTGCGCAGGGCGTCACACTGGCCGTCTAGGGCTCTACAACAATCACACACCGTTATCCCTCCACCTAGATACTTAAGAAATACATAGGGGAAACTGAGGCACCCACACGGTATTCAGAGAAAACATTGAGAACATTTCCACTTCCTAACACCTGTATATAACCAATTATATAATTTCAAGGGTGTGAAATGATCAAGTATCTTGCTAAACACGATCACACCCCAAACTGACTGCCAAATTTGAGTTGCATGTTTTTCCCCTCAGGTGAGGGAGGGGAGGTGCTGGGGCGCAGGCTCTGAGGTGTTGTAGGGCCTATGGTGGGTACGGGGTAGGGGCTGCCATCATGTGTGGCCTTCCCAGCTGCTGCCCCTCACCAAAAATTATACAAACCTGCCGCCCCTGCCAACCTGTGCAGCAGCCTAGCTGTATCTTCTGGCGAATAACAAGGCCACCTGCCTTTCCACTCCCGCACAAACTCCGTGTCACAGCCACCCCAGGGAGCAATTTTGTTTTCCAGAAAGGCACCATCAGAGGGACTAGCCCTTTCAGCTCCGTGTGCTAGGAGAGCTGAGAAGAAAGGACCATTCAAACCCTGCGGCTGCAGGGGGCTCAGAATTCCCTAGCTGTATCTTCTGGCGAATAACAAGGCCACCTGCCTTTCCACTCCCGCACAAACTCCGTGTCACAGCCACCCCAGGGAGCAATTTTGTTTTCCAGAAAGGCACCATCAGAGGGACTAGCCCTTTCAGCTCCGTGTGCTAGGAGAGCTGAGAAGAAAGGACCATTCAAACCCTGCGGCTGCAGGGGGCTCAGAATTCTCCGGGCTGAGGGGAGGCAGAGCCGCTGCCACACAGCGAGTTCACATGCCTGACAGCCACGGAGGAGGCCTCGCCGAGGGCGCGGCGGCCGCCAAACTGCCAC